AAGAAAGTAGTCTGTATTTCCAGTGCAAAGCTTTTTGAAAGGAACTATGTTCCTTCTTAATGGAGCATTACTGAGCAGTAATATTCAATACATCTGTATGCAATGGAAATGAAAAATACTAACCTTCTACAGAAACCATATCCTGCTTAGAAAGCCATTGATTTATACTGATTAGAATCTGGCTGGGGCCAGAAAGTGCAGGAGCAGCTGCTTGGAAAAGCTCTTGATAATGAGCAAGGATCGTATTCTCTGTTGACTGAGGATGCCCTCATATCTGTTTTGGGAATGTGAATATCAAACTCTGCTCATAGCACTTTCTTTCATGAATTGAGTAAACTGCAACCTGATCTTTAAACCATGGAATTTGTTTTATTGCCCCATGGTTCTCTTGGTTTGACTATTTCAGTCACTCTTTTATCACTCTTGAAGATGATATAGTCTTCCAAGAGAGAAGGCATCAGTAAACAATCCACAGGCTGATGGCAAAAATTGAACAGAAAAACACAGGATGTAGTTTGTTAGGTTTCTTTCCCTTTTTTTCCTTCTCAGCATCTCCAGATTAAATTAGTTAAATTTCTTTTCAGCAGTTTCTATGAATATGTGCAGAAAATGTTGTGAAGAGTCTGTACTTTACAGTCTATAGAGTATACCTTTTAAAAGGTACCTAAATATGCAGGGAGGTAGATTGCAGGTTTTTTTTTTTTTTTTTAATCATATTATTGAATGCTAGGTGGGAAAGAGATTTTCAAAGGAAAAAAATTGTTCATACTATTTACTGTCTTCTCTCCCTCACTTAACTGTCCTCTGCCAGTGTACAAGAAAGATGGCTAATTTTTCTGAAGAATAAACAGTAAAGATTGTAAATTAAACAGTTCTCAGTACAACCTCCTTCAATTGCTGGCTTGTCAAGCAAGAGGAGAATAGTCAAAATGCTTTGTATTTAGACTGGAATCTGCCCTGATTTGCTGCTAATCTTTCATCTGGTCTGTATGCCAAAGCTGAATGCCAAATATAGAGATACGAAATAACTCAACTGAGGTTAAGGACTTCTCCTATAAATAATGGAAGTAAAAGTCCTAAGCAATGCTACAAATAAATTTAATGCTTTGAACATAATACCAGGAAAAAACTGGAAAGGTTAGTATTATCTTCTTTTTCTGCATCTGCTTCATAAAAGGTTCTATTGCTAATTAACCACTGTAGAAATAGATAAGAATCAAGATGACTTATGATTTTCAACTCTATGTTATTGCTGCAGAGAAAAGTCTTGTGACAAAATTACAAATCTTGCAGAAATAGGCTGAAGTGATTGGTGGTCTGAGCAGGGGGACCTTGGTGCTTGCTCTCTGTTTGGATGCATTCCACAGTAATACCCCAGCTGACATCCAGAAGCTTTCTCCCTGTTTTCTTTCCCTCATTCCACATAAAGTTACATTGGCTGGACAAGGGACTGTTAACAAAGATGCCAAGTTTTCAAATGCACCTCAGTTTACCAGACTGTCCTATTTGCTAGAAAATATTGCAGGACCAAATCCCAAAAACATTAAGGGGTGTGCAATCAATTAAATGGTCCCAGTTGTATGCCTGATTTTCATGCATGATTGATACTGGACTTACATATAAAAGTTCTGCAGAGTCCTGAGTATGCAAATTAGGCACATGATATGTGCTCTTGTACTTTAGGAATTACTAAAGTAAGAAATATACTACACATTGACCAATACACTCCTCTTAATATACTGGTTACATGTCATTCATTTGGAGTAATGTGCAAAATTAAAATAGGGCTTAATCCCTTTTTTACCAGATCTCATTCCTAGTTGGTCTTTTGGTTAGATGGTGTTTGCTACTACAAGAATCCCAGCCTTCCTAGGATTGAACTGGCTTTCTTCATTAGTGAAGAAAGTACTGTCCCCTCAATACCTGGAAGCAAACAGAGGTATGCCAAAAAGCTAAGACTTTGGAAGTTACACAAAGCTGCATATCTTAAACTAAGATTCAAATTTTAAAAAGGGAGACACCAGAAAGATGATCGCCTAAAATCAGCAGCAACAGCATGGAAAACAATTCATCCCATTGCCAGTTTTAAGATCTAAATGTTAAGAAACCAATGCAAAGGACAATTAAATCCTAAACTGAAAGCAAAGCATAAACCATAAATTCTCATCCCCTATCGTTTAGGTTGAGGGTGGATTTTTTGTGTTTGTTCCCCCCTCCCCTTCCATAATGTAGATTACCTTTTTGAGCAAAATCCATGCAAACTCTAAACAATCTGACTTCTGACTTTCTGGCTAGATGAAAGTATTAGAGTTATATTACAGTTATGTTACAGATAAGAAGTGAAAGGTCAAAGAGTATTAAAATCTGGAATGTTTGGGTAAAGAGGACAGTATTGAGTGAAAAAATACAGCAGAAGCAAAACATTTTGAAAAGAAGGACAGAGATTCAAAACCAAGAATTCAGTCTGGAATGGAGAATCAATTTTTGACTCTTGGAAGCTGTAATTTTAATAAACTAAAAATGCTTTGAAAGAGAGGAGTAATTTTAATAAAACTATACTAATTATAAAGAACCATATATAAACACCTTGTAGCACTGGAAATACCATTCTGTACTGCAGAGATACAGTACACTACTGGATTTTTATAAAACGTTCAGGCACACACAGACCTGTTGCCTTTATTCAGTCATAGCACAGAAGCACAACAGGAAGAAAACACAGCATACTGATAGTATTGAGACACTTGGGTAAAAGCAAAATACTGGGACACTGGACACTGAGCTCCTCGTCCATGGAAAAGCTGTTATTACACACTGGGCATCCAGTACCATACCCTGTGTGAATAGTTGTGACCTCTGACAGGTGAGTTGCAGGATCTCTTAGTCATCACTGGGCTACGAGGAGGTTTACCCATAACAAATAGCTCCCTCTTTAAATTAGCCTAGAAGAACCACAAAAACTTTGTCAAGCAAGAGTTCAAGAATGAAGCATCCTGGGATTTTTGTTGCTTCATTCATGCATGCAAATCAGACATGCTTTTCCTGATTAAAAAAAGCAACTGTTACAGGTAAGAGGGGAAATATTAATATACAGTATTTTCTCTTCTTCCACTGTATCTTTTTTCCTCAAGGGTTTCCTGCTCTGGCACAGATCTTTACATGTTACAATTAAAAGATTAATCCTGTATAGCATATGCATTTGGAACAGTTATTGCATGTGTAGCCTCTGAAGTAGCTCAGATAATAACACAGGAAAGCTCAACAGCACAGAGCGAATTACATCTGCCATACAGCACAGAGCAAATTACATTTGCCATTGATATTTCTAAGGTAGCATTTCTGCTACCTTAGAAATACCAATGGTAAATGTAATTCCTTGTTGTTTAACAGAACAGACCCCTTGGATTTGCATTTAGAAAGCAAGTAAATACGTGGTGGAAAGTACTTCATGAAAGTATCCTCATTTTGTTAGCACCACTACAAATCAACTTCATGTTTGTCGTAATTCAGTAATTAAGGGGTGTGAGTGCAGCCCATGTGAAATCTCATGGGCAGGGGTGAGTTGGCGGGAATGTGAGGAGAGTGGAGTGCTATATTGGAAACCTTTTCTTAGGTAATTGTGACTGTCAGTAGAATGTGACTAAACAAAAAAAACCCCAGCCCCTTCTTAGGAGATAGGGGTGAATAAGAACAGCAAAAAAGGTACCAAGAGAGGCTAAGGAGACAGAAAAATGTCAGCATTTCTCCTTAGGATATGTCTTCAGACTTCTTTTTTTTGGAGGATACATCCTTTGCACTAACAAAATGCGTAGTGACACTTCCCACCCATAGCTCCCTGTATTCCATTTAGTTTTAAGCTACATAGCAAATATATATATATGTGTGTGTATGTATATATGTATGTATTTTTAAATTAACAAAAGTTACTGAAGTATCAGTATACAGTTTAAAAAACATATATTCCTTCTATGTATATTCAGCTTGGATTAACACACCTTGCTCAAATAAGGGCACAGAATATACAGGTCACCTAAAAAAAATATCAATGTAGAACGAGGAATGTTCTTAATTTTTCTGGTTAGGCTAAGCAAAACCACCAAAAGCACTCTACCAACTACTACATTATTAAAAGCTGCAGAAACAAGTACAGTACTCTATTTTACCCTTCTTTAAGGTGGACCAAACCTAAGCTCATGACAGATTCATCTCCTGGAGAGAAGCCTTATATCTCTTCCCCGCTTCAGAAAAAAATCAACAGATCTGTTGATCTTAAGACATCTTTAAGTACATTATGTCTGTGTTTTCTGTGAATGCACATTGTAAAATGGGGTAGATCTTAAGAAAAAAAAACAACCCTGTATTTATGACATAGATGTAATGATCACTTGTTTAGGATAGTTTCTCTTTACATTACTTTTTCTCCTTTTCATGAGCAGATAAATCTTCTGGAAGTCAGCACTGCAAATTAGTTTTGTCTTTCTACAGTAAATTTTCATTTTTCTGCCACAGAGCTTTGATGCTGACACAAACTGTAGTCCTGAAGAGGGAATAATCTTTGTCCAGTCCTTGACTAACAGAGCTGGTATTTAGAACATGACTCTCTACAGTGGGTTTTCCTGTGAAATTTATGACTTTTCTCCTAGGCTTTGAATTGAAATTGAACACAGAAACACAAAAATGTTATCTAGTTTCTGCATACTTGAATACAGTTCTGTTTTATTCAATTAACTAAGTTACATTGCTGTTATGGTATGAACTTGAAATTGAGTAGAAGGCTTTCTGCTTTCCTATCACTGGTATCTCCTTAAACTATTTAATTGTATTGCAATGGCTATAGTTTTACCTTATGTTTCACTTGAAAAAGGCCTATCAATCCTGTGTTTTTTATGTTATTTAGTATTAGTAGAGAAAGCAGTACATCTGAGAAGATCAAACTCAGTGTTAGCCTTGCAGTTGTTTAATAGACACGAAGATTTACAACAATCCATATTCAAGGGGTGCAGTTACCTTTAGCTGCAGTGAGTCTTTCTCCTGCTGATGAAAGGGTTTAGAGAGGAGAGGAGCTGAGAGGGAAGCAGTAGACAGGGATATTGTAGGAACGGAGTGGGAAGTAGGTGCCTTGGCAGAGGGAAATGAAGATTAGAAGAAAGATGGAAAAGAGGATCAGTCTCCTGATGTTCCACCAGAAAGCAGAGCTGGTTTAAATGTTTAAGAAATATGAGAAGTACCTGCGCTATAAAACTGTGTTACAAAATCAGCTGAAGGATGTCAAATGCTTCTTAAGGGGACATGTAACTAACCTGAATAATCACAAATCTCATGCTAATCTTATTATTAGTCATCTACTTTTCTGGAAGACATTTTTGTGTTGGAAAGCATTAAAAAGTTGCCATTTGTGGCCACGGATTTCACCTCTATTCTGAAGTTTTTCTCCTGTGTTTTTCAGGTCATTTAAGGGTAGAAGGTAATTAGAGGGCAAAGTGTAATTAAATAGTTTAACATTTGACCTAAAACATATTGTTCTAAGCACCTGACTTGCATGCTGACAGTGAAAGCAACTACCTGAATAGTCTGTTGAAGTAAGTGCTGGACAGAAAAATGTATAGTTACATTGCAGCATTTAATGGCCAGCACACACGGGATAGTTCAGTGATGTACTGTCCCAAAGAGGAACAGGGGAGGGCTTCAGGAGGAAGCATTTGTGTAACTGCCAAACAATCTGATCTGTTACTGTTAGTCAGATCCTCCTAACAGAGTCTGCTATAAATACATCAGCTGGTGAGCTGACACATGCCAGCACAACCTGCAGAGTCTCTGCAGCAGGCACAGAGAGTCCCTCACTCTGGAGGCTGTTGACACATTTGCTTGCTGGGGCCTCTCTCTCCAAAGGGGCAGCATGCAATGGGCTCGTGAGGGAAATGGTTCACTGGCTTTTCACATCAGAAGCTCCTCGGCAAGCAGCAAGGACAGGAGGGAAAGGAGCAACACAATTGATACATCATAGAATTTACAATGGTGCATATGCTGGCTTCTGAGAAGGGACTGTCCCCTAATGCTGACAATTTTTAATCACAGAGTTATAGAATGGTTTGTGTGGGAAGGGATCCTAAAGATCATCTAGTTCCGACCTCCCCTACCATGGGCAGGAACATCTTTCTTCTTGAACAAGCCTGCTCAGAGCTCAGTTTTATCAAATGCAATTATGTAAAAGTGTGCCTGTACACAATATGAACAAGGCAGAGAATATTTATACTAAATTATCTGAACACAGAAGTCAGGGTTGTCAGAAATTAAAATACCTTATCAATAGTTGGTGAAGTATATCCTTCGTAACAATCCATAGAATCTTCTTCACTTGCTATTGGGAATTCTAAATTGTCATGTAGCAGATCCTCCTCTATATACAGTCTAGTCAGTTCTTCTGTTGTATCTCCTGCTTCTCCAGAGGAATCTGATTCTTGAGGTTCTGACTGATCCTCCCTATTAAGTGACAGCTCTGCAGTACAGATTTCCTCTTCATTTTCAGCACTTGCAGCTAGCACACTGGACAAGGAACCTTCTTCATATGGCGAAGGGATGTTACAGATGGTGCTACGTTCACCTTCTCTTGTAGTATCTGACAAATCTCTAGGTACTTCAATAACTAAAGAGTCAATTATGCTTTCTAAGTCTTTATCTTTTCCTGACTTGGTATTGTTGCTAACATGCTTATATGCTATACCATGAGATGAGCTGGCTGAAGATGAGACAGAGGGAGATACAAGAGAGGACAGAGGAAGATCTGTAGGAGAGCTGAGAAACACCTCTGTATTTGGCATAAAGTGACCGTCCTTAATGTGGTGAATGCTATTACTTGGGGAGATTGCTACAGCTTGGGAGGTTGCTAATGCCAAAGAATTGAGTTCTTCTAAGTCACAAAGAAAACTGTCTGGAACTGATGCAGAAGTTAAGTTGCACATGCCTGAAGGTGAAAACCCAACAGTCCTTGAGAACAAGTCACTACAGTCAGCCTGGAGAATCTTTTGATCAATGTGTGACCAAGACGACGGAAGTTGTCTGGAAAGTGGGGTCAGTGCTTGGGAAGGCAACTTCAAAAATAAGTAAAACATGAGAATAGAAATAGATAAGCATGACAGAGAATTAGGATATGAGTAAACTGGAAAAGAAAAATGTCTGTGCCATCATCTGGATTACAGGGTACAATTTCAGTGACCATGGGTGTCTGAAATCACTACTATATGAATCAGAACAGCAGGAAAGACATTTGAAACATGAAACTATCGGGTTCTGGCTTAGGGCATAAATGTCAAACATGAAGACAGATCTGAATCGTTACATTCATGAAGGCAACTGCATTTGATCTGCTGAAGTTATGTTACTTATGGTGCTCTGTTAGTAAGCCTGTCACAGGTTATTAAATCATACAATTAATATTAATGAAATTTTCCCAAACCATTACTCTTATTTTGAGAACAGCATTTTCAGAAGTACACTTCAGATGTCATTATATACTTCTCTCCAAGCATAACAACTGAGGTAATTTCTAATTATTAAAATGTTAATACTTTTATTTTTCTTAGTACTTCTGAGTAAATGTTTAAGAAACATCTTTAATACATTGCATACTTTTATTAAGGCATGAGCAGCTGCTCAGAATGAATGAATTTGAGAATTCAGAATTAATTTGTTTTTCAAAATTAACCCTATTAGTTCAAAATGATGTCAACATTTGTGAAAGGTACATTCAGTTCAAACTGGACATAGGCAGTCAATGATGCTTTTAAAGTAGTGACAGCACAGTACACAAGAGTATGCTTTGAGTACCGTTACACAATATTGATTGAAGTATCCTTCTGGTAAAAGAAACGTCCTTTTCTAAGAATGAGAGACTGGTGAGTCACACGTACACAGCATCAGTAGATATCCATTGCTTCAGTAAATACTGAAAATGCATTTTTATTACTATTAATCCTCAAAATTAAATTTGAGCAAAAAATATTTTTATCTAATTGCTACAACTATCCAGAATAATTAGCTGTACACCTCTAAGTTATCTGGATGACTACAATTTCAAAAATCTACATTAATGTTGCAGAATAGGGAACTTAGTTTACTTACCTTCTGCTTGAGTTTTGTTGAGGCAAACAGCTTTATATTACAGTTAGACAAACCTTTGCTACAGAGTCTTCTGTACCAAAGTAAACAGTAAAGACTGATACAGTGTAGTCTGCTAAAGCAGAGTTAGGCTGCTACAGAAATACTCAGTCAATAATACTGCTGAGGAGATCTTACCATTTTTAGTTTCCCATGGCTATAAGCTGCACTAGATCTAAAGACATAGATGAATTACGCCAAGTTACAGAGAGCAAAACTTGCTCATAACTTGTCTTGCTTATTTATTTTACTGCCATTAGGCCAAAGAAATTTAGTACAATTGTCTAGCAACAAGGAGCAATATGTGGCAAAAATCTCCAAAGGAATAGAGAACCTGGTATCAGAAAGTGTGGTAAACTCTAGAACACCTTCAGGACTGATGAAATTCTTCTAGGTAGCCAAGAACAACATGCCTTCCTCATAGTATTGCCATTCCTGAATACAGCTGAATCCAGAAAAAAGATGTCTGTTTAAGAGTCTCAGTGGGTGGTGGTTTTTTTTTTTTTTTTTTTTTTTTTTTTTTTTTTTTTTTTTTTTTTTTTTTTAACTTGATTCTTGAAGTATCCTATGTTAAAAAGAAGGCTTCTACCAATTTCCTTCCCTCATGAACTTATTTAGTAAAAGCTAATTTAATAACAGTGGTAGAATACTTTTGTAATATGGATGTAAATGCTCAACAAGGACTATGGATCTTCAGCAGGATACCTTAGAGAAGCCTGTTCCATAGAAAACAGGGAGAGGCATCTCTGGAATAGGGAGCACTTAAGCTGCCTCATTGACTTGCCTTCAGGACCCTCTGGATCCCTGTAACAATAAGGGACCCTAACTTATGAATATCTCAGTTGGCAGCTACAGAATTTGATGTTAATTGATTAGTTTTGTGGGAATAGAAGAGATAGGATCTAGTCTCTGTTGTGACATGTTCTGGAAAACCAGACAAGACCTGTCCCAGCAACTGTCCCAAATTAACTTGTACTTAGTAATAAGAAGTATTTTCAGAGACTACTGTTGCCTATAAATTATCTTTGGCTAGCTTTTTACAACCCCAAAGTAGTTAGTAAATGTGGAACTTATTTCAAAGTCGAAGCATATAGATGACCACCAACTATGGAAGTAGATAAGAATAGAAAAGGGGACAAAATCAAATGAAACATGAATTAATAGCAGGATAAAGAAGTTTGTAATTACATAAAAAACCCACTGCCCATGCTGAAGAGATAAACAGCAAAGGTAAAGATGAAGACCTAGAAAAGTTTCCATCTCAAATGTTCAAAGTAATTGATAACGAGTTCATTCTAAACACAGTTTGCATGCAGAAACTTCCTTAGTTTCTATCACTGCTAAAAATGTTATGTTCCCTGCACAGGTGAGTGCAAAGCCTCACAAATGAACGATAAACCAGAACACAGCAATCTTTCTGCAGCATCCTGTAGTATGATTTGTGATGATTATCTAGACTAGAAAGGAAAACAATTTGGAACCTACGGTACACATCTGGTGTGAAAAATATACAACCATAAAGGTTTGAATTCAAGTTCATTGACAATGTAATGACAGTCACCTCACTCCTAAATGAAACAATACTGTCAGTTTGTACCACTCCAAAGAATGTACCAACATTCTAGCTTCCTCACAGACTGTGAATGGCAAAAGGAGGAAGATTTTGCTACAGAGTCGCTGGCTGTTCTCCTTTGCTTCCAAAGGTACAGAACTGGTCTTGGCAAACTGTGTCCTGCATGCTTATGGAACCATAGGCTTTTAGGATGGTGTTATGGGAATCTCTTCACATTGTACTAATAAAAGTCTGCTAGACATACCCTTAATGCTTAAATTCTTGTTATAATTTGCAAATTATTGCAAATAATATTTGCAAATTTGCAAATTATTCTTGCAAATATTTTTTTTTTTCCTGTTGGCTTGACTTTTCTGCCCAAATTTCATCTGTGTCTACTAAAAATAATGTAATAGCCAATGAAGAAAAGAGCATAAATCCTGGCAGAATATGAGACACACTTGACTATAAAAATTATTTATTAATGTAGTGCAATTTTACCTGTGCAAGAAAGAAAATGTTGTGTAACTCACTGCCTAAGTTATGTATAATGTTAACAAAAAAATTACAAGTCCTTCTAAACCCACTCTAGGGGTGGCAGCTAACATCGGAAAATCCTTACCTTAGTTGAACTTAAATGATGTATTCTGTCACTAGAATAGCTTTGGGGTATTGGAGGGTCAGGATAGTCATCAACACCTTTTGATGGATTCTTTTTGATGACTTCTACATAGGAGACAGGGAAGATGCCTTGTTTGTTGGTTCCTGGTATTTTACCTTCATACCAGTTTTGATCAACTCGCTTAAGAAGAATTACTCTGTCTCCCTGAAATGCATTTTGAAAATGGATTATACATTGAAAGTTAATTTTGTATATAACAGATATTATTTTAACACATAATAGTATCTTCCTTACAGTGGTGCTTCCCATCAGTCTTGAGCATCATCTCCATATTCCCATTTTTCCTCCCATTGCTAATAGCCATATATAAAACTACCATCCCAGTAAAATGAGGGGTTAGGCATGGACTAAAAATGCTGTTCTTTCTTCTGAGGGGAATCTTATGTAGTCTGCTCCTCTTGCTTGGGTGATTACCATTAACACTTTTAATTGGAACATAACCTGTTTTAATTGTTGGCCAAACCATCAGCTAATGCCCCAACTATAGTATGCATAGACTGATATGCCCATTTTTTCTTAAGAGTGATAAAAGTCAAACAATGAAATTCATGCAAGTGCTTTGTTCAGTAAAACTGTATTAAGTGAAGGTAGTAAACTAAAAATTGTGAGTCTGTTGTAAATATGAGAGAAATAAGTGCTTTTCCTATGTAAAATGGGCAGGGCCTCACTGTTCTTGGAGACTGTAGAAATTGAAATGGGAAACATCAACTTTATATTCAAACCTTTTACTTCATGAGCTACACCCTTCTTTGGTTTACATGATGTTCTTTTCACCAGATCTTTCTGAAACAAATCCTTGCCTATTAATTTTGTGTTTTTTGGGTTTCTTTAATTTTGTTTCAGTAGTTGATGTGTGGAATTCACTACAATTGACTTTAGTGAGATGGAACCAAGGAAAACCAGTGTAAATCAACTATCCAAGCAAACCAAAATTGGGCTGTCAAGATTATGATCACCCAATAATCACAAAAGCTAATTTTAGAAAGAAATAAAACATTAAATTACCCCCAATCTCTAATTTTTCTACGTTGCTATTCCTGGGGTTTTTTTAGACCTCTCTGACTTTTACAAATGTTTAATGAATAAAAAAACACCCATTATTTTCAGTAGTGTTTGATTAGGCTGTAGGTAAGCAACAAAAATCTCTATCCTTACTTTTTGTTCAAAAGAAAAATAAACCACTGAAAAGCTTCTATCAACACTAATTCTTAAAAATAGACTCCAAAAAGTAAGGGGCAGAATTTCCCAGTGGATGAGAAGTACCCACTACTTACAACTAAGTATTTAATATCTGCAATATAAAATTTCTCTACAGTATTAATATTCCAGTGTCTAATAAACTTCGGAAATTAAACAGTTATTTTGTTCATATGCAATAGGCAACAGGATATGCATACGAAAGATAACAGAACATTATAAACGAAGAACTGTTATTAAATAAAATATTTACAATCACAAAAATATCTCAGGCTTTTTAAAAAATCTTTTATCTTCTGTAATTTTCTATTTATTTTGCATTAAGATCCTTACTATAATAATTGTGACAGGCAGGAATAATAATTAAATAAAGGAATAGATAATTGAAGTGAAAATTCAAAATTTAGCTGGATAGTTAGCAGATGATTACATATGCTACTCTGCCACAGTCCAAATTAAAGGCAAAACACAGTTACAGTATTTGCAGCTAGCTGAGACACTGCAAGCCAACAAGCTATTATGTTAGAGTTTCCTACCATGGCATTGCTTTGTGCATTGCACATCTTGAATGCAGAATGCAAAAAGCACAGTATTTACCTATATATAGATTCTGTGTAGCAGGAAACATTACAATGGTATTTTGGTGGAAGATAGTTCTCAACTGTACCTTTCTAAGTGATAACTCCACATTTGTGTCTGCGCTGAAATTATATTTGGCAACAGCTTCTCCAATCTCTCCAATCTGTGCAGGGGGAGGTGGCCTGGCAGGCTGTGCTTTTTCTGGGGGAGAAAGTTTCTAAGGAAAAAGAAAAACCAGATTTTCGTCATTCTCATGTGGTTTGTGGACCTATTATCTAAATTAATTAAAGGAATTAAAACAAAGAACAAACCTCAACATAAGAAATTGGGAATATTCCAACTCTTCCATGGTGCTCACCCTCATACCAGTTTTGATCAATTTTCCTGAGGATATAGACAGTATCTCCTTTCTTAAAGGACAGCTCTCTGTAACAGATTTATTTATAACAGATGTTTATGGCTTTACATTTAACTCTTCTCCCTGCATGGTTCCTGAGATCTTTATAGTTTGGAACTGAAACAGAATGTAACAACTAAACATTTGAAGAAAAAGTGTCACAGCTGTGGTACATTTATCAGTTGATCATAACACATAAAATCAAATGACTCGCATTTATGAATCTCACACAGTATCTATAGGTTACAAAGGCCTGTCTTACATTGTGATTCCAAGGAAGCATTGCTATTACCACCAGGGAACTTAGTATGATGTGTGCATGCTAGTATGATGTTTTTGGGATCACCTGTTTAAGTACTGCTTTTATGACAGGCATCAGAGAGGTACTTGGTGTATTCTTTATGTATTCAGCATGGAAACCACAGAACGTATTCCACATCTTTATGGCTTATCATTATCACTGCTCTACACACTTCTTTTTCATAGCAGCTATTCAGAAGCATGATGCACACAGGATTATGTTCTCACCATTTCTCGATACTCAGAGACTATGCTATGTTAAATGATGGATACAAAAAAAAGATACTTTTAAAGTCACTAAGAATATTTTCAGATCCTGGCTTGGGAGAACTTTGCTGTATCATCCATTTGGTGATTCAAGAACTAATGTGCTGCTCTGGTAATTTCAGCTGTGAATTTTGTCTTGACATAGCTAATGTAATTCTAGTGTCTATATTTGGTCATATTTAAAAATTATTTAAATGTCTTGGATCATTGGAACAACAGCAGAAATGAATTGTAGACACTCTACTTCAACTCCTCCTAAATCAGTGGTTCCCAATATTTTGTTACAGACACTGCTTTTCTGCATGTCATCCTGTGACATGCAGAAAGCCTGTGTATGTTAAGACAGACAGGAAGAGGCTGAAGTGTTACACAGACTTTTGATAAACTCATTATCTATGACAGGAGTTTAAACAATTTACCCTCTGCCACCTAAACGTTATTCACAACAAACAAGAGCATTCAGTGTGTGTCCTTCACAACCTGTGCTCTAGAAGGCTGAAGATGCACAGCTGTTCATTTGTTCAAACAGATACAATGGAGAATATAGTAACTTGAGATAATTTTATTATAAAGTAACTTTTCACACAGTTTGCTAGTGCAGGGACTACTGTGACAGCAAGCAAGGTCCTCATGTCCATGGCATTCGCTGTTGAAACTGGATCAAACACCACTTAAGTGGTAGAAAGAGTTTGCTTGAATTATGAATTCTTGAATGAACAAAAGTCTAGTACTTACTTAGAAGTTTGAGCTTTAAAGTCATATACAGCTCTAGCTGGCAGTTTCTGAAAAACAGGTGAAGTGATTAATACATTCAGGTAGTATTACTATATGATAAATGTGTTTCGATTTTTAAAAGGTGACCAAGATCCAAAAAGAACAGGATGAGCTTTACAGTGGCTCTTGAAGAAACAGGCAATGAAACATGAAACATACATTTTTTTTTTTTTTAAGGCAGGTGTTTGGGACTTAGTGTTCTAAACACAGAAATAACTAAATTTTAATGCAGACTCTTTTGCAATTTGATGCTTAAGAGAAGTACCAAAACAAATAAAAAAGTTAATTATGTCAATGTGACTTTCAGTCAAGTAGATCTCTAGGCGCAACAGAAATACACATACTTAATATTCTGTAGTATTTTAGGTGCCTTTAATGTAAACTTGTTTTCTGCAGGCTAATTTCAATTGAAATTATGCATTACATTTATATATATATATATATATATATATATATATATATATATGCACATATCCTCTGACAGCTGGAAATGGTTGGAATATTTTTAATTTCTATAATTACATTCATAGTTTTAAGAAAGCACAGTACTGGAGGTGATCTGAGTCATCTGTGCACCTCTCTTGCTATCACAGGCAATCACATGATAACATTTATTTCATACATTATCAAATTCTTTCACCAAGTACATGTAAGCTCAATACTGTTTAAAAAAAAAACAACCCTGTAAAATAGCCCTAACTCTCCTCACCTGTATGGCTGACACACTTCCACTGTTTTCAAAGCTGTAATGAAAATATGAACTGATCTGACCCAACAGTTTTACTCATGGACTGTCTGCATCTGACAGCACCAGATATTTCAGAGGAAGTGAAAAGCAGAACCACATGAGGGCATTTGTTAAAATTATTTAGTCTTGCTCTGCAAGTATTGCCCAGATAAGATGACCCCATTCTAATAAATGCCTCTCTGGGATGTACTAGTGACTAGAATGAGCTGATGATGCTATTTCTGAGAGATGCTACTTGTCATGGTATTTGCACGTCTTTTTATGACAGGAATCAAAAGGGACACTTGTAAATTTTACATTTTACCTTTATTCCAGGCCAGGTGTTCTTGATTTGGTTCTCTCCGTTCTGGTCATTTTAAGACTAGCAAATCTAGCACACCTACAGAATTGTCCTCACTATAGCAAGAAGTCCCTGAAGTTATTATAGGGATCCTGTCAACTTGAATTTTGCCATACCAATATGATTTTTCCATTACAGATCTCCTTCAAATAAGATAGCCCAAATTTAAAAGCATTTTTCTGTTCTTTGCTGTTATTAAAAACGCTCTTTTAGACAGGGGGGGAGGAGGTCTTTTAGACATGAATCAACATATGATTCATATCAACTGCAGCTAAGCTCCATTCAGTCTTTCCTGATTTTGGTACAGCTGGTATTGTAACTATTAAAGCAAATAACAGAAAAAGTGGATATTAAAAGAACAGTGCAGCTATTTAAATAAAAAAAATACTTTGAAATGTACAAAACATACTGGAAATAGAGATGCCTTTCTTCTTTAATATTTTTAAACCTTTTAAAGTGATCTTAAAAATGTCTTGTAATTTAAGTATTTTATGTATTTTCAAATTGAAATATTATTTTCCATGTCACAAGATTCTTTAAAAGAAACATACAGTATGGCTTCTGGAACTTTTTTTAGCCTGTATTTTGTAATGAGAAATCTTTTTTTTTTAAATAAGACTTTTAATCAAATTGCAGAAACATAAGCATGTCAGTGGGGTATAAATGGATCTGAATTCAGTTCTAACCATACCACCATTTATCAAGGTATATAGCCCAGAGCAAAATCTTTTAAATTAGTAATTAAAACATAGTCACAGTTTATGTTGTTTGGAGAGAATTTATAGTTCTAGATCCATAAGCATTCTTAAGATACAGAATAATATATACTGTATATATTTTATATTTCAATATGTACTTTTCAGTGATGCTTAATGTTAATGTTACTTTAAAGGTGGTACACCTGCTTCCATTTCCTCTTCCAAAACATTACTACAAGCTGTCAGTATCTAATTACAATCACCAACTGCTACAGATGTTAGAGGCTCCTCTTAGGCTAACTGGTTTTGTCTAATCCACTAACAGTAGTGGTTTGCTGTCCAAACAAAAATAACAGTGAAATATAGGTGTTTTGAAACTACCAAGGTAGTTTCTTTGTGTAATACTTTGGATTTCTGAAGAGCCTTTCCTGAGTCAAATCTGTTATTTTTCTCTGCTCCAAACACACACTCCAATCAGTTTTGACAATAACTAGTGAGTTTATGTCCATGTCTATTTAATAATGAACAGAAGAATAAAGCTTATCTTACAAAGCTTGATATTATTTTAATTTCTTGAAGTACCAAACTCCTTAATGAAAAAGGAAGATGCTGTTCCTTTGGTCTGCATCATTATATAGTCTTAAAACCAAGACAAATCTTGTCTCAAATATGTTACCAGTTTTCCATATGGATATTGCTGTGTTATTTATTGTTTCATTACCTCTTTGTCTGTAGTTCCTCTTCTCTCCCTTGGAGTACATCGTCCCACATCAGTGAAAGCAGAAGAATAGCTTCCAGGAGACTCCTGGTCTACTGGAAACAGAAATTATGTGAAACTATGATAAACAAAACCATTCAAACCTGTGATGCTGCTTGCTTTCATTTAGGGGGGTGAAAAGATATTGAAATATATTATTTTACATTTAATAGAAAAGCATGTGATGTGATGGTTAAGAGCACCTTTAAAGGAAAAAAAAAAACTAAATCAAAAACAAAAACCAAAACTAACTTTAAGCAAAGGCTAAGGCTGTCCTCTGATCCAGAGCAGAAGAAACTATGACTGGGGATCAAGAGAGTGCATTTATGCCTTGCTGTGTAAAGGGATGCTCCCCTGCTGGCCAAGTGGAAGATATGACAGCAGTACTCGGACTCCATCAGGTTGCATGACATTGTTTTGGAATGTCAGCAATGTAAACACATAATTACATGCACAACACATGATTCAAGCATGCCTCAATGAGAAAATGTGAAGAAGCATTGTTTCCTCCTAAGTGATCTAAAATGCATTTCTACTTTACCAGGGGCACATGTTAGGCAGCACAAGGGAATTTAAAAGGATGTTACTTGATAAAAACAACTCTGATTTAAGAGATGGAACACAAATCATATTACTCACCAATCTATGTGGCAGATTTTTCTAAAGCACAGTTTACCAATGTTTATTATAGGATGGTGAATATTTTCTCATGTTTTGATAAGGATAAAATCAAAGTCATATACACTGTATAGCTCTGCAAGTTGCAAATGTGAAATGAAAATAGAAATACTTAATGAACTGTCTCTTAACTTCTGAGAAGTACTGTTTTAGTCTCCTACTACCACAATGATACTTTCTAGTGAAAATGTGATTTATGTTTGTCTTCCTTTGACTTCATTATCATGATCTGTTGTTACCAAGCTCATACATTTCTGAAGAAATAAAAGTGGAACAAAGAAAAGAACTGAAAGCATCTCATCCATTCAAATTGGTTTTTGGCTAAGCCACAGAATGTTGTGGCTGTTGATAAATAAAGTGGAGGTAAATAGATAATTTTATTATTTATACCATTGTTTGTAAGCATATCTATCAGAGTCCCAGTTCTGAACAGCTTTTTTGATAAGGCATGTGCTCCTGAATGAGGATGTACACCTACTGCATAAATCTAAAGATACAATGAATGACTCCAAACACATCTATTTTTTCCCTTAAATTTCTAGCAGTATGAGAAGGATATTGGAAAGGAGGGAAAATGTAGAAGCTTTAGGACAAAAAAAATCTCCTCTTTTTTTCTGCAGTTCCTTATACAGTCAATACTGATAGTTTTTAATCATCTGCTGTGACCTTCAGGTCTCTGTGGCTATAAGAGATGCACACAGATCCAACAAAACATGAAAACTTGATTAGAAATAGAGCTCAGCCATGACCGGTGCTGATAGAAACTAATGGAATATTCTGCTTTACTCATTCTCCACGCTGCTTTAGGGATATTAATGTTAACAGAGTGTATTGCTTTCCTCATGCCAGGCTCCTTCATAGCTGCAAAAGCTATTAGAAATCCACATTTTCTTTACACTATGGATTTCCTCGTTTTCCTAGATTAGAAAATTCTCATTTAGCAACTACAATATGTGAAAAACACATTTTTCAATAACTTCAGTCTTATTATGTAGTACTGTCTGCCAGGATTATGATCAGGCCTTGAGTATGACTAATTAAATTCTGAACTGCGTTTTTTATCTGTTTTTTACCAAATTTGTTTTTCTAAATATGTCTATTACAGTAAGTTAAGAAAAGATGGTAATAGCTACAATTCTGATTTCTCTTGAAATACATATTTATTATTGTGCTACTTGCAAAAATTACACAAAAATATGCGAGAATAAGGATAAGATGGGCCTGATCAAATATTGCATAATTTCTATATTAAAGACATTCTCTCTTACATCTGTTTTGGATTTCAACAATATCTTATAAGCATTTTTTTTCTTTTTTTTTGATTAAAATAAAAGAAAAAAATAAATAAAAAAAAAAGAAGCAGAGCAACAAACTACTCAAATCAGTAACTTTAAAAACAGATTGGTCATACTTACCCTGACAATTTCATTCAAGTTTTGATTATTGAGAAAATCCCTTCTAAGAAAACAGGACATTTCTCAAAATTCATAGACACTTTGAAATTCTATGAAAAAAATTAGTTTTGCTGCCACAGAAATTGGAAATTGTTTGAACAGTGGAAATGGAAACTTCCTAAAATGACCTTAACATCTATTCACAAAAAGTAACACAAAGTAGCATATTCATAAGAAAACAGAATTGATTTTCTATGATACTGGCAGAATTAACAGCATTTTTATCACTTAGATTTAACAAAATTATATTGTAAAACACATTTTAGATTCACATTCTTTTTTTCTTAATGATAAACAAAGGTTATTGGCATACTGTTTTCAGTTTCACCAGCATCTTATGATGCATAAATTCACTGTTTAGTATCATCATTATAATTTATAGAAATAATTTCATTTCAATTAGTTGAAATGCACTGCTACTTCAGTTGTCCTGATTACTGTATTTTGTGAATAGACAGCAAATTTATCTGTCCTCAACACCTCTGTGAAAATGATGTCCTTCACTAACAATTCTGTGGGATGAAAGCTTCTTATGGATGACACAAAGTGGAATGAGAAAGGGTGGGAAACACAGGGAGTAAGGTTGGATAAGTCAATCACAAGGATAGAGGAAGAAAGTTAATCCACCTTGGAAACACAGTGCACTATCATTGTTGTTAGTTGCATCGATGTCTGGAAAAGAGGCACTAAGAGGTAATCTTCCACAATCATTCTGGTACAGTGGACAATGGATAGCACCATCTTGAGGCAGTGGATGAAAAGGCTGGTGCGTGGGACTCTTTTTCAGAGCCTTAAGAGATGAATTCCTTTCTGGAATGTCTGGAAGCAGCTCAGTAATAAGTCTGTGTAATATACTGTTGTCGGGCAAGCTTCCCCGCCTTTTCTCAGCTTTAATTTGGTCACAGATGTCTTTAAGTGCAGAATCTAGTGCTTCAAACACTGATGACTTGCATTTTTTCTTTTCAGTTTGTTTTTTAGGAGCTGCACTTTTTTTCCTCCGGAAAGGCACTGGACTGACGAGGAATGCTATCTTAGACAGGCCGGATTCTGCTTCCTGTCTCCTTGGATCTTCAGTGGTTTCTTGCTTAGCCCTTTCATGTTTTAGCATGGTGGTGAAGCGGGTATAGGATGCTGGGCATCGCCCTTTGCAGGAGCTGATGAGATGCCTATGGTGGTGGTGATGGTGGTGGTGGTGATGGCCTGATCCATAAAAGCTTTCAGATGAAGTGAAGGAAAAATGATCAAAGTCACTTTCACTACAAAAGGATGAACCCTCTATCTGGATAAAGTCACTGAGATCAGAAACCACTCCGTCTTGATCGCTGTCTGAAAAATCTATATGTGATCGTTGTGGCTCATCACTGGTCACTTCAATATGAATTGGCACCAGGGTTTTAGACTTGTAGCTCCGTTGTACCTGAGTGGGATGTCTGACTGGAGTTTCTTCTTCCAGCAGTGATTCAATAGAAAATCGCCTCTTTGGACACAAGCCATTTTTAGGAGGCTCTAATGTAACAGTTGACAACATGTCATCACCAAGGTTCGGCATTGATTTTGACTTCTGAATTAACTTTTCAAATTCAGATATTCTCGTTGGCACCATGTCTCTGGGCACCTCCTCAGTAGAAGACTCTCTCCAGCCTTGAAGAATCCCTTTGTGCTGTTCTTTTTCATATTGCAGTATTCTGGACTTGACAGAACAAATCACCTCAGAATTCATCAAGTCCTTGCGATTGATGCGGTGCATCTTTTTGTACATCTTCAGGAAACCTGGAGCATCATGTGCAGATCTGTGACGAACTCTTGACCTACCACTACCACGGCCCTCAACACATGGGGAGTTCCAGTTCATTGAACCAATTTCTTTGGAGTCCTCCTCACATAACAGAGAGCCCATGCTTTCAGCCTTGGCCTGTGCATCGGGATAGCTGTCGTGATCATCTGTTAACAGGTCATCACAGCTACGGGATTTCCTCTTTGGAGAAGCAGCTTCCTCTGTGCTACTCCAGACTTCTGCATTTTGGCGAGTCATTTGCCAGCCATTCTTGTAGCTGGTTGCCCTTCTTGAATCATTTGGAACAGCTAAATGTTGTCTGTAAGTGCTACAGTAATCTAATTCATTTGAGGTGTTGTGGTTGTGCACTGAGTAACTTAAAAGGGATGGATATACTTTGCTAATATCCCCACCTTTATAATCCATAGAGCAGCATGATAAAAAAGAAACATTGCCAGAAATTAAAAGATTCAGAAAGTTGGAATTAGCATCAGTAAGTATTAGAAAGACTAGAAAAGAGAAAGCAATTAGTGCATCTATCAGCTTAGGTCAGTACATAGTTTGTTACAGCCTAGGACAGCAGAGCTAATAATTAAGTTATTTTCCAGCTGCAAAAATACATTCATGAATAATTTGAACAACAAAAAGAATTCCTTATTAATTATGGAGATGTTATTTCCTCTACGACCCCTGCCATCAAAGCAATATAAGAAATGAGGCCTTAATTGGGGATTAATTGGGATTTTTAAGCAGGTCAAGACAATAAAAGCTGCAAAGGTTTTAAAGAAGCCACACAACAAATCTAGACCTCAGGGTAATACGGACTTTTCCACCTGGGCATTCTGAAAAGGTTGTTTACGGTTTTTAAGCTGTATAATGCTCCAGGTTCACAGAATCCACATATTCTAAGATTGTTAAAGATAAATCTTTGTATCAGATCAATTAGGAAATTTCTCCAAGTCATTCAGAGGTAGCCTGTTCCTTCCCTGGTGATACCACTGAAGGGAGAAGTGTTTTATACAGCTTATTCAAGGCAGAACAAGGCAGCTCAGGAAGTGCTATTCAAGTGTAAAGGAAGGTGTATTCATTTACTCAGCCTAACCACAATGCAGAAGTAAAAATAACCCTTAGATTGACTTCCATAACAAAGGCCTGAATTTTCAAGCTTTAAGACATATTTTTATGTGCATGGTAGATCTAGAAGACACTATGAGACAAATCTGGAACAGTGGTCTTTCATAATGATACTGAACTTTCAAAAATAGTTTCAACTGGCAACATTCAGTTCAGGAAGGGTGCTTCAAACAGTTCAGTCTGCTTTCTAAAAAAAATTAAATCTAGACCTGAAAGTGAAAAACTTGAGTTCAAAATTCATGCTGATCAAACAGTTTATAATGTGCTCCTTCTTTGACAAATTGGTTAATTTTAAGAAAAATTAACATTCTACAGGGGTCATAATGCTGGGAGAGAACAGTGTCAGCTTCTGAAAGCTAATTGGCTGTGGAAGCTATTCTCAATGGAAGGATTTGCAAACACAGGAAGTGTTGAAGTCATGCTTACTACTTGTTATTGGTGGTGGAGTCAAAGGCACATGCAGACAAGTGGAATTTATCAACTTTTTACTGCCTGGTCTGGTAAGTCAAATGGATGAGTTAATCCACTTTTAAAATTACTGCTATAACATTTAATGTTTTAAATGTTTAAAATACATTTGCTTTTCAGCCACCTCACTCTCAATGTTCCTCACTGCTTTTCTTTGACACTTTCTGTTACAGTCTGGATGTTATGTTCTTTTCACTGAGAATTTACTGTTACAGAAGTATACTGATTAGTATAGCTACAAAATAGAGCAGTTAAGAGAATAATGATAATAATTTGAACAGAAGGAGACATACTGTATGCAGTATTATTCTATATATTATTTTATGTTTTACTGGAAGCTTTTTGTATTTCTAGAAAAAATCAAACCTCCAAACCCACATGAACTGACTCTATGATCTCTTTCTTGAAGAGATGTGGAAAACAGTAACAGGATGGTGAGTTACTTACAAAAATAAGCTAATTAGATTGCATCAACTGTACTATATACTTCCAAGGATTTAGAAAGTAAAAAATCAGACTATGGATGCTTTCTTGATTAAATTAGGTCCTGATAACTATGAATATTTTCTTGATTACATTAGGTCCTGATAACAGCTTAGACATCAGCTACGAATTTAAAAGGTCTGCTAAGCTGGACACACACCTTTAATCTTACAGGTTATTTTTCTCAATTTACTTTCTCAATATAATACAAATAGTTTTAAAATCACAATCTAGTAAGAGAGAAGTAGAGTTAATAAAAATATTAGGGTTTATATATTGTGGTAGAATTATATATTGTGGTAGTCTTAGTCAATTCTCTTTTGTTAGAACAAGCAGTTGAAACTGGAAAATCCTTATTACAAATTCAGTTTTTCAGCTTAAAATTACACCTGTAAGAATAAAAATGTCAGCCTTTCACCAAAGGCCCAAAGCTGTTGCTTCACATCACATCCCCTGGGGCAACGCACCGAGCCAGGAGGCAGCTGCTACCAACACACAGTACAACACATCATCGGTAGTTTTCTGCTAACTAATGTGGTCTCCTCTTACCTTTTGCTCTTGATGGAGAAGAAGGAGATGAGCTAGTTAAAGGCTTCCTAAGGGTGGAAGATGAGCCCTGTGTGTCTGTACGGCCCAGGTTAGGTCTGTTGGCGTTCTGATCACTGTGTGCCCTCTGGTGACTTACAGCGGGCTCCGACTTCCTTCGCTTTCTGTAGTCACTCGCAGTACTTGCAGAACTACAGAAAAAAGCAGTATCAGTAGCAGTCTGATTCTGAGATCAGAATTCAGGAATTTAAGAAGTAAGGTCATAATTGTATTTTTTTTTATAGATTAAAAAATGCAAAATAAACCCATGAAAAACCACATAAAGTGAAGAAGCACTGGTCTCACACATCTTACAGCCTATTTCCCAGTGAAAAGATGAATTTGTTCCTAACCTGATTGCTTTAAAGTTTTACACAACATTACTATGCCATTTTCTTTGAAATAAATGCATTGAGATCTTTTAGACTATTTTTTGGAACTAGAGTTTAGGTGCAAAGATAAGCACCTAAAGAGAAATGAAAAGACAGAGACTGAGAACAGTCAAGACATCGTGCTTAGGAAAACAGCACTGAATATGCTGCAGGCAGTAAGGGTCTTTTAAAGAATACATGACTTCTGCTGAGAGAGAAGCTCAGGGATATTAGTGGAAAGACCCAGAACACAGTGGGGTTAATTTAAATACAAACACTGAGTCCTTGTAGAACTAAAATAAAAGCTACACATCAGTATCAAAATCAGCAATCTCTCCAAGCATTTAATTTGCCAATAGATCACAAGGTGAATATCTGACTCTTCACAAAATCTGCTGATTTCAGGTCCCAAAGAAGACCCTCAGGCTGGACAATCTGTTTGCTGAAGTATAGATAGTTTTTTTTACCTGGAGGGCCTGTCCAGGCCTCTGTCTGTTGAATAGTGATGATATAAGGAAGCCTGTGAAAACAAACATAGAGATTGTTATGTTTGTATTTGAAAAAAGAGTGACAATTTTTGTTTATCATGTTTGATGACTCCTTGTTACTCTGGGAAATTCTTTAACAAGAGCCCATAATAATTAGCATCCTGGGCACTCGATCACAGTCACAGCAACATTTCATGAGAATAAATGATGCAGATTTTAAAACCATAACTAGATTTCATTGCCTATTCTACTTCAGTATTTTTTTTTCCTTTGAAGCACTGCTAAATAATGATCCCAAATCATGCTTTTATATATACTTTTCAAAACCAGACACAGAACAGCTGAATATAAAACCAGAAAAATCTGAAATGTATTCCTTTGTGTGCATGTGAGGTCTCCAAATCTTGTCTTCATCCCTCAATTACTCACCAAAATCCCACAATCAATAACAGCCAGAAACTTTTGTCAATCCCATGATGTTTGTGGTCAGCAACTGGCCTTATATACCTTATAATCCTGGTAAAAACAGTTCCCATCACAGAAAATTAGTCGTTGCTTATGGAGTTAAAGATGTAGCTACTGCATGAACACTGGGAAATGGAACTTCAATAATTGTATTATTAATACAAAGTCAGCCTTAAATGACTACTGATTTTAAATCAACCACTCCAAGCCTTCAGTCAGAATTAAGTAATATTACAATTCTGGTAACCAGGTATGAATCTAGAATGAACTGCATGGTTCCTGGGGTATTTCTTCATGGGTGCAAAGCAGTCAGGTTCAAGAATTAAACTTCTTTCAAGCTCCTGACATGTCATTTCAGCTTTCCATAACTCAATGAACTAGAAATAGAATAGGTTCTATCATACAGGTTTCTAAGGTGCAGGACTTTTTCCCTTTATAGAGACCCTTCTTGGCTTTGGAAACATCTTTGTCTTGAAGGACTGCTAAAGTAATGGCACTCATGGGCTGTACAAGTCCTTTCTTTTGTTGGATTTTTTTTCCCCCTCAGTGATTTGATTTGCAAATTCATGAACAGAACTTCACCTAGACTTGTTAACTGACACTTAGGTACACCTCCAGAAGTCACCAGTAGTCTTAGAATATTTGGGAACAGATTTTTTAGGACTGTGGGGTGGGGACAGCCACACAAACGTGCCACAATATGAAACAAATGTTATCTACAACCTGAGCAAAGATAATTCCAAACGTTCACATAGTTCATATTTTCAAGTTTTTCTTTACACTCTCTGAAGACTAAGAAGTACTTTGTGATTCTCCCATCACTCTCCAAATGCAATGATTTTAAGATATATATGCAATGCTGTGAGATCTGTCTGCAATAAAACCATAGAAGCCAGACACAGTGTTGCTCACACCAACAGCCAGTATAACCACAGTAAGCAAAGGCTTCAGTCTGTGTGCTTCCCTGCACTGCCTGTAAAACACACCTTCAGCCTGTCCTGGAAAACATTCGAGTCTCATTCAAAATTGGCCACAACCATCATTCTTCTCTTGACCAGTCATTGCCATGGTCTGGAACCAGCCAGGAGGGAAATGCAGGACCACAGGTGATCTATCAGGGCTGTTGCACGAGGTGGTGCAAACGCTACGGATAAATTGTCATTGTGGATTCTTTTGTGCAGATGCCAACCACTTCCACGAGCAACCACTGACCACCAGGGAGGTGACAGTGGCCAAATGGCCCTGAGGCAGTGACTGCTTCCCACCACCTGTAGTATCTCCATGCCTGTACAGACCACAATGTCACTCCCAAGGGTGGAGCAGAACCTCACTGTCTCCTATGAAAGGCTATGGGTAAATCACACAGTGGAAATCACACCAGGGGGAAGTTCCTAATCCACAGCATTCCCCAGGCCATACACAGATGGCTGGAAGTGCATGTCATGCCAAAGGTGACTGCTGGGTAAGTGGTTTTTGCTTTTCATCCTTTAAGGTTATCTTATCACCTTGAATGTAACTTGCCCTTTTATCCTTTATTTGATGCTGTCTTTGAAGTTTTTTCTATATGACAGATCCTGTAGGTTGCCCATTCTACAACACTACTTTTTACTACAGTCATATATTATTTTATAGATTGTGTGGAGTTGATACCTTCTCTCCATAGGTAGAACTTCACTGATGTGTTATATAGAGGAAAGGTGAAAGTAAACACTGTGTGTGGTTGTTTTTTACTGCTTGTTTTACTGTTTGCAGCTGTCCTGTCAGCTCTTGGGCGTTTATTGACCCACTTTTAGATGGCCCAACTGAACACATCTCTTCCATCTCCAGAGCTAATAAGCCATCTTCCACAACATTCAACACTGCTCTATATGAATACAGGCCACTTGAAAAAAATCTAAATATTGGAGATGACAACTCCAAACTACTAAATACAGTCTTTTTTGAATACTTGACTTTTACTAAAAAAAATGAGATCTATATTTAGAATTAAGCCTGTATTTTAACTGTTTTCATGCATCAAGGCTTTAATGCTGACTAAAAATGGAGCTAGAGAAAGTAGGCAAAAGTAAAAGGAAAATAACAAATAGGCTTGTTTGCATGATGGTTACACTTTATCAAGTCATTTTGAATAGTCTCCCCCTCCAGGGAAGTATTAAGTTGCTGTAGTTTTTGAACATGATTTATCATATTTAAAGATTATTAAAAGTTCAAAATTAAAGAGAGGACTTCTTTGTAAACTAATAAAAGAGAAAACCAGTGTTACTTAATAACCATTTTACCCAGATCTACTGAACATGGGAATATTTCAAAGTCATGTTAGGGCTTTTAAATTGTCTTCCTTGATATATTGAAAATCACCAGAAATTAGAAAAGGCCTACAAGCTTTATCTTTCAGAGAACTGGGCTGAATTTCATAACTATGAGGTTTTTCAAGATACACAGAGCTTAAAATCAAACCAGAGTAAATTGCAAACAATTAACTATTTAAGACCACAATTTGAGCTTAACCTTTGGATAAACTACAGAAGATGAGAGTGAATCACAAATATGGATGAAGTAAAGCCACCATATGAAGCAAAGTTGCCAGTAGAGGATTCACTGACTTTTGCCCTAATGCTGTAAAAATGAGAGGGGAGTGGAGAAGGAATGAAAGCTTGCATCTCTCCCACTCAGAGTAGGGCAATGTCAGCCCACTACCTGACCTTGATGAGTTTTATTTGGAGTACTGACAGCAACTGTCAATCCTGCGTTATAAATTACAAAAGTACTATTAATTGCTGTTTTACCTGATGAGCAACCTTAGTCATAAATACTTAATTGGAAAAATGACAGCTTAGCCGCAAAGGCTTTCACTTGACACATAGAATTTGCAGTCAGGTATTTTAATAAAAAAATATACTGTGCTGATGGATTAATTGTGCAATGCACTTGCCCAACTCTGAAAAGTGGGAATTTGTCAGAGAGTTAGAGACATATGGAGTGTTGTGTAGTTCTGGGTGTTAATCTCTGAGAAGTTTTGGGTATAAGGACTCACAGTTCCTAGGATAATAAGATCAACATCCAAATGCATTAGTGATCTGGAAAGATATGAAGACAAAGATACAGTGATTGTGAATTAGACATGTCTCATAGCTATCAGAAGGAAACCACTAAATTTTAACAAATCTAAGACATAAATGGTGAGCATTCCAACCCTTCTTCCCAAGAGAATCATCTGAAAAAGAACCATTCATTTACCTCATTGGAAACACCAGAAGAACTGTCTTGAACATAATCCAAAAGCTTTTTAGGTGGCTGCATCATAAAAGCAGAAGTGTAGAGATGAAATGGAGTAGAATCAATGGCAGCAAGGAATGAAACATGTGGAAAAGGTGACACAGTTAGAAATTAAGTGTTGATACAAAGAGTGACACACATGGGTAGAATGGAAGGATAAATGTGTTATTTTTAAAATATTTTAATAAAATGTTAGTAACTTTAGGTGGTAAAATTTACAACTGGAATGGTTGAATAAACAGCCAGCAGTTTTTTAACACTGGGAGGGAAAAGTCTAAAGCAGTTATGCTCTCTTGGAGGAATTGCAATATATTTTATCTTAAAAGTTATCGTTATCAGTAAAATACTGTTGAGATATGGTTAATCAGAAGAATTTATCTGTACTGTTTCTGCCCACCTAGAGGGAGAAATGATAATACTACTTGAATGGCAGGATAATGTAGATAAAAAGTAATCCATGACAATGTGATAACATTATAGACCACTGTACAAAAAATTAAACCCAGATATATTTACCTTTATTATTTTTTTAAATTTTCACAGGATATTGAATGGGCAATTTTTAAAATGCTATAATTAAAGGTTTTAGAAGGGTGTATATTATCTGCTTTCTCTTCTGCTCTCCCTGAAGCAGCAGGGAGTTTTGATTTTGGCTTATGGCTAGCTACAGAAAGGGACTAAGGTGCCTGGTTCCAGGGTGTCCTCCAAGGCCCTGTGTCAAGTGCTCAGGCTTCTCATGTAGCCTGGCATGTCACTAAATAAAATTCTGATAGGTCTCCAGAGAATTGTTCGCTGACAGGGAAAGAAAAGAATGGGGATATTTTAAATACTGACACTCTCAAGTTCATGTCATCTACGGATTTCCTGTCTGTGGCCTGTGGCTTCTGCTTTTTAAACTCAAAAAATCTCAGGGAGGATCCTGGGGAGCTATGAGAATGCTTAAAAAGATGGAGGGAATGCTTAGGTTTACTTTCCTCCTTTTTCTAAGGGGATTTTAACTTCTTTTAATTTTCCACCCACCTGGATATTCCAACTATCCTCTTAGACACTCTTCTGAGATGAAGACATTTGCTATCCTTTTTCCTAAAGATGTTAGAGTGTACAGGAAAGAATTTGAGCTCTGTGGAGCCAGAGAGGGAGTGTGCAAAAGCAAGAGTAGGTGCATCTCCAACCTAGTTGTTAAGGAATTGTGCAAGGAGAAAATGAAACCTAGTTCTCAGTCTTGCCTCAAACACGTTACTGTTTTGCCATTGTAAAAAATATACAAACAGCCTTAGGTGCTTAGATGCAA